TTCAGTGAAAAACTATAAATTGTTTTTTTTTCAAACTGATCTTGATTAGGCTTGGTAGGATCTGATTTTTATGTAGTCTTTTCTTAATGTATTAAAAGTAGGGGCAAGTTAAGCAGTCCGTGGCCTCTGTGTTTGACACTGATCTAACTCCTCTTTTTCCATTAGGATTCTTAAAATTAACTTCAGTGGCAGGAGAAGAAGGTCCATGCCAGTAGCTTTTAATTTTCATTTTTCTCCCTCTGCTTCACTGTCACTCTCAAAAGCACCTGTAAGGAGCATACTGGCTATCCCTAGATCACTGTTTATGATGTATTAAGAGTTTATATCAAGTATTTCTTTCTACAGAGACTGCCCATCCTGCCTCCCAGCTATTTCTGATCTGGAGAGTGCCAGACTTCAGCTGGATGCTGTGCCTCAGGAGCCCTGTGCTGACAGCAGATAGCTGGGCAAAGGCATTTCAAACTGACTTCATGTCAGAGAAAGTGAACTTGGCAAAAAAAGTAATTTTTATTCAAGGGACTCCTTATCTTTTAAATGTTGTCCTATTTCAGTTAAGCACCAATGTAAAAATCATAGCTTGTATTCTCCTTAAGGGTTTTCTTTTGCTGTTGTACATTACCAGGCATCATTACAGTGCTGCATGCCTCAAGGTACGGGTGTTATTACAGTTTTTTTTCTTATAATAGGAGATCCACATGGAACGCTGTGTAAATTTGACAGATATAGCTGTGGAAGCTGTTCTTACCTGTTGCCCAAAGATATACATTCTGTTGTTCCATGGATGCCCACTGATGACAGGTTAGTCAAAGCACACAGGTAATATTCCATATTTTAAGTTGACTCTAAGGTAAGCAGCATGTCATCTTTCTGCCTAGAAAGCACAGACTACCTTGCAAATGTTCCCAAAATGAGCAACAAGGTACTATTCATGATCTTAATAGTAGTATTCTTGGGGTTTTCCAAAACAAGACAGGGTTCTTGCTTGAAAGACTTGATAGACTTAACAGGGGAAGGAAACACAATAGTTCAGGCACACACAGGTTTAGACACAGCATTCTTCTAGAGGTTGCATATGTAAGTTGTAAAATGCAACTCAACTCTGAAAATGTACTACGCCAATTGATACCTTATTTAGAAGGCTTTATGTTTTAAAATTTTCTTCTTAGTCTGGTTTTGGATTTTCTGTACAGAACCAAATGATATTATTATCAGTAGAGATTTTCCTCAACCCCAGCCCTGGATACTGTCCCCCTGATCCTGCCCGCTTTTGTTGTTAGCTCTTCTGAACAGCCTGTCCTTCTTACCTGTGGCTGCCTGCTTCTCAACAATCGGCTCAATAGATACTGGTAACAACTACATTGCCTGCAGCCACATTCAGATTTTCACACTTGAATGGAGTTCACAAACTAGTTCTTCTCTCAGGCTAATGTGAGAGAAGAACCAGACTCTCATATTACAGGTGATTGCTCTTCAGTAACAGTGCATCAGTGCCTTAGTACTATGTTGCTCCAAAATGGCTGTTGCTGTTTTGGGGAGTATCACCTTACTAGCAGAAGCCTGTTTTTTTCTAATACCTGTGCAGCTATGGTACGTGTTCATAGATTTCATAAACATTTGGGCTGGAAGGGACCCTG